TAAACAGGCCGTGCTTATTTTATATCGCCTCTGTGCCCTAATGAGAATGTAAGCACTTTGAGGCACAACCATTACCATGGCAATGTCTGTGTTCTCTGTGAGGCTAATGTTAAATGGTAGAAATGAGTGTGTGTACGTATGTGTCTCTCAGCCATTTAAACACATACATGCACATTTACACACATGCATTTACATACATACGTATGTACTTAACTCTAATCAGCTTTTAAACTATGGTTTGGTACATGGAAAATGGCGTGGAAAAGAAGAAAGCAGAAATTGTCAATGACTATGGTTAAAATTACGCCTAAAAGCTTACTACGACTGACAGGATTATTAAACTGTTCACCATCAGTAGTTTCTGAAGCAGCTAATAATTGCTAGAAGAAGTCAGTGACTGATTTTAATTTACCGAATTGTAGTTTGTTAGTTGTTTTTAAAGAATTTTAAAATATTTGTAAAGTGTCCTCTTCTTCACACATTGAAATTTATATATTTAAAACTTAATTAATTCAAATTGAGCAACAACTCTTAATTTTAAAAGTGCTTTTACTGCAAAATTTAGAAAAAAATAGAATACAAAAATTTAAATTAAAATTAAAAAAAAAGATTAAAAAAAAAATATAAAAAAAATTAAAATAAAAAATTAATAGAAAATGAGAGATAAATAATAAAACTAAATTTTGAATAAAAAAATTGCATCGATGCAATAAATATAATATATTTTAGTATACATTTTTACAAAAATAATTTCGATTCGAAATGTACTCGAGCAATGAGGTCAAGGTTCATATTTTTATTCGAAATTTAAAGATTAAAACCAAAATTCATACTAACAAAATTTAATAATACATATAAACATATATGCATACAGTGAGTGACAGACGGAACAATCCATAGCCTAAGACAATGATCGTAGAGACTTGGTACTTGAAGAGCATCTTCAGTGTATGACTTAGGCATCAGGTTTTCATAAACTTAGGTGCAGAGCGAGCATTTTTCCTAAATTATTATCGTTATCACTTTTTCTTCCGGAAGGTGAGACTAGGCTCGTTTCTATATTTCGGTTTTGCTTAACATGTGGGACACAAGTAAGTAGTTCTTTGTGAGGTTAATACGTGAAAACCTATTTTTATGGAAGTGAACCTGGGACCGAATGTAGAAGTGAAGCAAATTACTCTGCGGTTGTATGTAGGGTTTGGGACAAGCACAAGACAAATGAACTCCTATGAATAATTAACCAAAGTCTCATACGAGTGACCCCCCTTTTGATGACGAGCCCCGCAAGTGTTTTAAGGATTAAGCTCTGACGGGTAATGTTCGCCCCCTTAATTTGGAAGGTATTGCTGTCCATAAAGGTGATGTACTCGAAAGTATGATATCATCGCCGTTCAAACACTGCGAAGGATGGGACAAGGCCGGAAAGAGAAATTTACTACAGAGGCCATATAAAACATCGCAAATTTGATGTTGGACTTGCGGTGGGAAAGAGACAGGCATTCATGCTGGTGAATAAACGTGGCTCCACAATCCACAAGCTAAATTTTTCAACAGGTCGCTGATTTCCACTCATACTCAGACGGATAAGAACGACGATAGGGACAAGGATGCTTTCCGAAAGAATTGTTTGAGCCAAAAACTGCTTGATACTCTTTGTTGAAATCTGTTTATCGAATGGAAGACCTCTTATACAGGGTGTGCCATCAATTCTCAATGAATTTTGATAAACTTTCCTTTATTATCAAATTTAAAGCCATACAATTTTTTTTGTTCAGCTAGGTTCGAAAAACAACGTCGATTGCTATTTTTTCGGCATTTTTCATGAAATTTGCCAGCATCTCGGGCGGTATAGCACCGATTTCAGCTCGAATGTTGTCCTTCAGCTCGTCCAAAGTCCTCGGTTTATTGGCATACATCTTGCTTTTCAAAAAGCCCCACAAGAGAAAGTCTGGTGTAGTCAAATCAGGCGATCTTGGTGGCCAGTCGAAGTCCTCTCCTTCCGATACGACACGTCCGGGTAAGTCTCCCGTGAGTCTCGAAATCCGAAGCCAAGCGACGAATAGCATCACTTTTAGACTTCTCCGTTATGCACGCTGTGCTGCGACAACCGAACGATTGCATTCAATGCACATTGTGACTATTTCTGTACCTTCTTTGGGCATGAAGTGATACATGACTGAAATTGTATTGGAATAACCTTTCCTAAAAGCGTTTACTGCACGCAATCGGTTGAAATCTGTCGAAGTTGTTAAATGTTTCCATTGACCACATATAGATGGCGGACCCTGTAATATCTTCATTTTCTCATTAAAGATTTACAAAGTATTGTATTATAATATCGCTTAAACCGTCCTTAGCGAAAGTGGCTGTAAAAAATGATATTGCAATGAGTAATCTCTATACTTTTTCACATATTTTTATAGCCAAGCTTACCTAAAACGAAACTAGTTTTTGCGTTTATAACACAGAATATGGTTATTAACTGCAACCAGTATCCAATTTTCCATACACACATAATTCCTGTACATATATGCAAGGACATGTGCACACATACACAAAACAATCTATTGAGAAGGAAAATTATATAACTAGTTTTGTATAGAGAGATTATTTCATCTAGGAATTTGGCGAGTTTTATGTATGACATGAGTACAATATGTATGTGCATATGTATGTTTGTAAAAATATAAAACAACATATGTGTGTGTGTATGCGAAAAACTTTTGAGACTACTCACATGCTAGTATTTTCATTAGCTAACTGCTGTCAACAGTATAAAGTTTAAAACTCTTTTGTGCGCTTGCAAATGCATACAGTTATGTTTGTGTGCTTATGCTTACGTTGCCTTTATGGCCTGTTTGCAAAAACCTAATCTGGCTTGTTTTCTGTTTACTTAGAAAAGTTAGTTTGATCATTAGATACAGCTGGTGTGCGGATGGGCCATGACACCTCCATTCTAGTCTACCATTGATATAACCCTTCTAAGAGCGAAGAATTCCCCTTCGTTTGCTTAGTTAGCACTCTGATGGAGACTTATTATTTTCGGACTAATAACTTTATGCTAACAATTTAACAGTGTCTTTCTATTTTCTATGCAGGCCACATGATCTCTTAGTAATTAAAGGTTTTTCGTGTCGTCGCTGCAACTCTCACTGTGTCTAGAGAGTCCATATAGTGATATAAAGCGTTTTCTTTAACCGGTTTCTTTTTGAATATTGCAGCGTTTGCCAACTTGTTGATACGTCGTACTTTTCTGTTGGAAAATCTCTGCCGCCCTGTTCTAGCTTTACACCATAAAAGCTCGACAAAGCTCATTATTTTCTTCGTTTTCTTTCAAAATAATTATGGATATATGATTACTCTCTTTCTCTGCCAATTTTTATTAATTTCTAATTCGTCCATACCTCCTTTGCTAAGCTGGGAATACCATTAGCCTATGGCTGTCACCCCGATATTAAACTTTTATGATGTCTGTGGAAAACATCACCATTACTTTGATTTTTAGATCGCCGTTCCACTACACCTGTTCCCTGGAGCAGCTTCATCCATGCGAACAACATATCGACGCCAGCGTCGACTTTGTATCATTATGCGGCTGACTTATATTTTGTGGTTCTATCTTTGATGATAACCTTCTTTTATCTGATACCTATCCTAATCTGGAACGTTTTCAAAACATTCTAATCTTGGTTCCACATCTTCCACGGGTATGATGAAAGATTTATAGAGGGTAATTTTAGTTTTTCGAAATAGGGTTCTGCATTTCATTGACCTACCTTGCCCAAAGTAGCAACTGTTGACAAAAGATACCCTTTGTATATTCAAGTATGATGACGTGGAGATTCATATCAGCATCAAATTGAAAAAGTTGCACGATAGCGAATTACCCTCTCTAAAACGTCGTTTAGCTTTGAACGGCTCAGCGAGTTCAGACAGTTTAGGTAGAACTGAAGATTGTGTCCAACGTCATTTCAAACAACCGAATTAACTTTGCGGGTATCCTAAATTTAGACCTTGGTTCGAATAAACTCGTCTCGGGCTATCAAAGAGAACTTTAAAAATAACGAATTAGTATTGTGTGTCACTTTGCTTACTCGGGGCGTTTTCCAGAATTTGACTTGCTAGAATTGTGTGGATTTACTCAGCGCACATTGAAAAGGCTGAATCAGTTAATTCATAAATGACTTCAATATTTCACAGATCACTATTGATGGGACCTTATAAGGGACGTTAAGATAGCTTTTTTATGCTGGTTTATTTATACACCTTTTCTGCTTTGCTTTGTATCCTCAAGCTATCCGGTTTTAGGTTTTACAATTCTCCTACTCCGGCGTGCTTTTGACTCTAACTTTTCTTAATTAGCGAGACGAGCACATTGCTCACACCCTGATATTTCTTGAAGCAACAACGGATAGAAAAAAGCTCCCAATCTATAACCACGTTTACAATGAATTTTATGTGAACGTTTTCCAACTCGTTATTCCATACTCTCTAATAAAACTTAGAAAGGTTATATTACGTTTGTCAGAATCCTGGCAGGGTGTACGCTTAGGGGCCTAAGTGGGGCAATAAAATATCCTTCAAAAAAAGGAAAAATTTTATATAAAAGATACAAATATATATATATAATATATATCAACATATATATATATATATCAACATATTAGAGTTACTAAAGAAGGTTGAAAGGTTCCATAAAGAAAAGCATTTAAGGAAAGCTCTTAAAGCTCGAAAAAAAATATATATATAGAGGAAAAGTTAAAGAGGATTCCTGAGGCAAATATTTTAGAGTGTGGTAGTCACATATGGATTAATCTATTTGGAATATATACCGAAAAAAACCCAAATTAATAGTATAAATAAGTTACAAGGTATTTGATTTTATGATCTAAAGATTAAAAAATGATTTCATAATTATAAGTATTCTACTTTTTGCTATAAAAAACATTTCAATTTACTAAATAAGCTTATTCATATTTCAATTTTGCCTCCCATTGCAGGACCTGAAGGCTGCAATCTATTCATCTACCATCTGCCGCAAGAGTTCACCGACACCGATTTGGCATCCACTTTCCTGCCATTTGGCAATGTTATTTCCGCCAAAGTTTTCATCGACAAACAAACAAATCTCTCCAAGTGTTTCGGGTTTGTCTCATTCGATAATCCTGAATCGGCGCAGGTAGCCATTAAAGCGATGAATGGTTTTCAAGTGGGCACCAAACGCTTGAAGGTGCAACTGAAGAAACCCAAAGATGCATCAAAGCCTTATTAGGACAACAAGGCCAACAATGTGTGGCGATTGAAAAGTAATAGTAGCCAGTACTTATACGGGAATATGGAGCGGCGTTTGGTGAAGCAAGAACGCGCAGAAAGGAAGTGAAGTAATTGAGAGTAGCAACAAATGCTGAATAAAGTAAGCGAAAATGGTGGGAAGGAGAAATTGTAATAATACATTTTTGAATTAACTGAATTAATGTGGCGCAGCTGTACAAAAAACATAACAACAATAACTTCGAAGGCTGCAACATATGATGTGTGAAGGTGTATGCTGTTGGTGTGGGAGGTAGGAATGAATAATAATAATGAAACCAAATGAAATCAAATAAAATTTTAATAAATATAGGAAGATTAAACTAAATAAAATAAAATAAAATAATCTAAATTAATATCAAATACAATAAAATAAAATAAAAAAATATAAAATAAAATGAATAGTATAAGAAATTAAATGAAAAAAATTGATGATTAGAAAAATTAAGTAAAATTTAATATATTAAAGTAAAATAAAATTATATCAAATAAAATAAAACAAACTGAAATAAAATAAAATAAAATAAAATAAAATAAAATAAAATAAAATAAAATAAAAAAATAAAGTAATGTAAAATTAAATAAAATAATATAAAATAAAATAAATTAAAATGATGAATGAAATTTGGTCAAAAAAATTAAACAAAATAAAATAAAATTAATTGAAATAAAATGAAATAAAATAAAATAAAATAACTGAAATGAATGAAATTTAATTAAAAACAAAAAAATTAAATAAATTTACTAAAATTAAAACAAAGTAATAAAAGAAAAAAAATAAAACATTATAAAAAGAAAGCGAAGTAAAATAAATGTCAACCAAAAAGATATTAAAATACAAAAATTAAAAATGTAATTAAAGAAGAAGAAAACAATAAAGTTGTATAAATAAAATTGAAATAAAACAAAATAAAATGAAAAGAAAATTAAATAACTCAAAAATCTTTAGTGGATAACAATGATATTGTATTTTACAGAAATAAAACTAAATAAATAATAAAATGAAAATTTAAATAAATAAAAAATAAATAATTCAAATAAAACGAGATCATATAAAGTAAATGTTAAAAATAATATAATAATAAATTGTTTACCGTCATTTATTAAATGAATCAGCACACACATGCACACACCTATATAAATACTTATTTACACATTTTTTTATTCGTAAATGTAATTTACTTGAATTATGGCCAATTTGTTTATGAATTAATGTGTATTTTCTTATGGGAAAGGCTTCGTTGCTTCGTTTGATTATGATTTTTACAAAATGTTTTCTTATTTGTAGTTTTAATACTTTGCTTTAGCAGCAAATTAAAAAAAAATATCTTAAATTATGAAGTAAAATAATTGAATTTTATGTTGAATTGTTAAAATTTTTATATATATAAAAAACTTAAACGTTTTTTTCTTTGTTTATTAATGGATTTAGTTTTTAAGTTATTTACAGTTTGATAGATGATTTGTTTGAAGTTTTCATTATTTGAATATTGTTGTAAACTTATTATCACATACATATTATCATATGTTTGAAACAAATTTTACGATGTTGAATTGAGTTGTTTAATTGTTACTTTTATAGTTGCAAAGGGTTAAGAATTCTTTGCAAAAAGACTACATATAATGTTACATACTTATTTGTTCTATTACAAAACAACAAGAAAAAGATTGATATTCATATTTTGTAGAATAGTATGTTAATAAATATTGCATTGTCTTTTGTTGTATAGCCAATATTTGAATTGTAAACACTTTATGTGCTTTGGCAAAAATGCTGCAAATTCGTTTTTCAACTTTAAACTTTTTTTTTTTATATAAACACAAAGCAACGCTTTTAATGCATATTAACAAAAGACTTTCTTAATACATTTTTATAAAAACATAATATACATACACAAATGGGCATGTAATTGAATGTACATATGGAGATAATGTACTTGGAGACTCTAAATGTCACAAAAATACGCAATTTTAATGTGAATTTGTGCACAAATTTTCTTTGATGTGTTGAATTGAATTTTTAATGAATTTTGTAGTATGTAAAACATGTAAAATTTCGGTTGAAATTTCTTCTTCTAAATTTCAGAAAACCCAATAATTTAGGTAAAGAATTGTTAAACAGGAGTACAACATCTATGTATGTGGAAATTAATATACTCATATATGTTCGATATACATACATATGTATGATATGTGTTTATGTGCATATATTCATGTTCGCCATATTATTGTTGTTTAAAAGCTGGTGTGTAAAGGAATTGCACGATTTTGTATAAAATTTGAAACTCGCAAACAATAATTAAATACATGTACACAGCTATGTATGTTAACAGCAAAAAATTAAAATTTGCCAAAGTACAAAATACAAATTTTTCATTCAGTGTCTAATTTTTTTTTTTCAATTTCGGCTTCTATTTTAATATTTCACTAAATAAAAAAAAATTTATTTATATTTAAATAATATTTTATTCCAAAAAATTTAATATTTCATATTAAATAATCAACCGTTATTTTGCATTTTATTTACGATATTAAAAACTCATATTTTACATGATTACATACTTAAATTCAAGCAACACAGGTACATACAAACATACGCACAACATTTTTAAGTCCTTTATTTTGAATATCTTTTGTACACATATTTGCAATTGCGTTGTTGTCGCATTATACTATCTACTCTAACTATATACATACATACATATATTATTATAATTATGATTGATGAATTTCTTTGTTCTTTGTAAAGTGAATTTCATAAACAACACGCCCATTTAAAATGCCATTAAAAGTGGTTGGGGCGTCTACTTATTGCAACTTGTATTTTATATGCTTAAATATATAATTTATAAATATATACATATATATAAATAAAGCTTTGTTTCTGTTTGGAAATTTCTGTAAAAAAAATTTTGTGTTTTTATTTGCTTATTTTCTATGCTTAATTAAAATTAAGTTTTTTGGTAAACATCGATAAAATTTAATTTTATTTTATTTTATATATGATAATATAGTAATTATATTATATGTATATGCTTTTCGTTGTATATATCTTTAATGTATAGCAAACATTTATTTTAATGTCCTTTTGAAAGTTCTATATTTTGATTACTAATTAATTTATAATAATTTTTTTATCACTTAATTTTGAAATTTCATTTAATTTTTAATTTTAAAGTTAAGAGCAAATGCCCAAATGCACGAGTCTTTCGTCCGCAAAGTAGCCATCAGATTATTATTTAAATAGGTCGAAAATGTCCTGATACTAATTTGTTTCCAAATATGAGAACTAATTTTGCCTTTTAACTTTCCAAGCTTAACAGAAAATGGTCAGCTTAAAATTTTTTAATTAAAATTTGAGTTTCGCGACATATCTCCGAACAGCGCCATAACTAAAGTAAAAATTTATGCTCCTCAAACATCTAACACAAATGCTAAATACATTATTTTGCAGTGAAATATTTCATTAAAATTAAGCGTTAAATAATGAATTTACTTTTATTCTAAAAGTATCTTCAATTATTTTTTCTTATAAATAATTCTATTATTATAGATAGATCATAAAATTCAGTTTATAAAGTCCAAATCATATTTTATACCCTTTATTATCGAATAAGAGGTGTTATTTTGAATACTTTCGAAGCATTTGCCTTTTGACAAGTACAAACTACGGCCCAGATGGTTTGTAAAACTAAAAGATTTTTCGTTCTCCGTGAAGCACCTTGTTGGCGGAAGCTTTTTGGACAAATTAGTGCGTGAGGTTTGTCCACTCCTCGTCGTTTTTTGGAATTGGGTTCACCAAAAGTGTTAAGCCAAATTATTTCTTAAAATACTTGGATCTCAAGGCCTATAAAGTTCAGTTTTCCCAAGAAGTTAAGCCGACCGATAAAAAACAACGCCGTGTTTTTTGCGGATGGGGTTCTTAAAGTGAAGGAATTTCATCGAAAAATCATCATTTCTAACCGATGGCTACGTCAATAATTAAATCTGTCACATCTGCGGCTCGGAAAGCCAAGGATCAACCTGTAACGATTTGGTGCGGTTTATGGCTCGGCGAGGTCATTGAAGCTTACCTTTTCGAAAATGAGGCTGGGTCAAAAGTTACGGTGACTGGTTTGCACTATCCAGAGATGACTGACGATTTTTTATGACCGTAATTGGATAGCATTGATCTGGATAACATATACTTTCAATAAGACGACGCCACTTGCCACACAAGCAACGTTTCGATCCTTGGCCACTGAAATAATATAATTTAACACCTTAAGTATTCTTCATTTGCGGCCACGTGGAAAATAAAGTGTAAGACCTCAAATGTGGATTGAGAGCATATAGCAGCAACTCTGGTATTTTGTGATGGAAAAATTCAAAAACAAGCACACGACCATTTTTCTGATATTGTTATTCCATTGCTAAAGGGATAACTTCTTCTTTATATTGAATTAAACTATCGATCACTGAAGTCAAAAAATTCCATGCTTCATTGAATATCAAAATAACATCCCGCATTGGAAAATCCCATATCGTATCCCTCAGTGTCCTCTGTGCTTCTTTATATGTTAAAAATATTACATTCATAAAAAAGTTGAGACATTGATTACTGGTAGATAGGTAGGACCATTTTTTCTAATTCGCAGTTGCGACGACGGCTGATATACTCATAGGACAACTTCCCTTTTTAGTTTACGTTCTCCGTAGGGCTTAGCTATCATGCCATACTTGGATGAAATTTCATTCGTTAATTTATCACTCTTCAATGAATGTAGTGTACGTCATGAAATTTGGGAAGCTTTAATTGTATGTCCGAAATAGATTCGGAGAGCTTGAAAGAGGAAATTTCCAGCCGATGAGCGGCTGCATCAAAACAATCATTTTTCTATAATTATGTATGGTGGTCGAACCAGGATTCGAACCCTAGTCTTAAAATGGCAAATAAATATGTAAAATTATGAAAGTGTGATACAATTTTGAAATCAATTATAATAATTAAATCTTTTGTAGTTCAAAAAATCTAATGACGAAACTCCATAATATGGTAAAAAAAAATGCCTAGCTTTGAATACTAAAGAAAATTTTTAATAGTCTATTCTAACTAATGTTATGCTGATAAAAAAATAATACTAATATATAATGTCTTCCAATAAGACCTCTAAAAATCTGATAGAGGAACCTGCGAAGAAAAGTTCCACAGGATCATATATTTCAAACTCTTGAAACCGGTAAAAACCATGTCTAGTATGGCACTAAGGAAGG